CAATTTTGTGTGTCTTTCACCGTACACTGTTCGATATGTTTTGTGTTAGTATATCGCGCTCAACCTGTCTAACAGGGCAAGTAATAAAATAGACAAACTTTGCAGTCAAAAAACAGCAATAAAAACCGCATCAAGAGTGTATGGTTTATGGTCTTTAAAATTGAAAAATGAATAGGGAAAATCAAGCACATCTCTGTGATTAAAAAACAGTGGGTCTAGAAGCCTTAGCAAAAAAGTAGAGAAAGATAACGTAACTCACCGAAACTGGATTACGGGGTCCAGTGGCGCCTGTCCTTGGTCCTTCCGGTGTGCTGCCTTTATGACCCATAACCAGGTCTGGTATCACAGGTGGTGGGTCACTGATTCTCGCCTTAAGTCCACGCATACGTACTTTGGTACCATGTTCCTCACTGAATTCACTAGATCCTGAAGGGACATCATTTTCTCGATGAATAGTAGACTTGGCGGATGTACGCCGTTGTTTGTGCTTGCATTTCTGGGCGCGACCAACGGACAGAGACCGGCATCCACAACGAGCGCAGCAATGCTCAGCTTTATCACGACTTAAACAGCGACAATCTGCTAGGCGTTTGGGCATAGTTGGTGTTCCTTTGCGTTCCTCCTCCTCGGCAGCTTGAGTTAAAAATGATAAATCCGGTAGTGTGTGTGAAAGAAACGAGGCACTGGTGAGGCGTGACGGTCGTGGTATAGAAAGCAATCCAAGACCAGGGTAAGCGATCGAAGCTCTTGGATTACCCAACCAGCCTGCCGAGTAACCATCAGCCACATAGTCTGCGCGCAAAGCAGCCATGTATGGGGAATCCGGACCAGCAGATGCTGTTAAACATGCCGCAATACCAAGCGGTGCTCCTGAAGACGATTGTGCTTCCACTGCAGGTCCCGGCATATGTCTGTTGGACATTGGTTTATTAAAAGCAAACGATTGTGGACGGCCGGGTAGGGAAGGATTCCGAGGATGACTGTGACGGTTGGGAGGATAACGCGCTGCGTTGCTACGCCGAACAGGCAAACCATTGGACCAGATGGGCGATGTGCAATTCGGCGACTGGGGAGAGGTAAGCGCACCATTCAGTCCAGAAGCGAAACCTTCTTCAGAACCAGACGGAGGGGGAAACTGGGCGCCAAAATTACATACGAGTCGTTTTCCGCTGTTAGGTTCCGTTTGAGCGGTAGATGATGTCTGTGGGTGCCACTTCTGTGGAAGAATACGGTCACCACGAAGCAATGGGTGCTTATCTGATTCGGACCTTGAATTCACGAGATCTGAACCCGAGACACCACGACCTGATGTTGGCAACACCAACACCTTACGACGATGTAATTTGTCACTCGAAGGAATAGTCACCGGAGTATCATAAGTTTGATCCAAACTAACTGCATGACCTCTTGGAACACCCGATTCATCAACGGCTGGATTTAAAAAGTTCATTTCTTCTGCTTTGGCTCGCATAAAGATTTCCAAAAGAGTCCCGGAAAATCTGTGCATATAATGCCCGGAGGAAACAGGTTGTGACCGGGAACGGACGGCTGCCCCGGTCTCTGCAGGGAGGGGATTTGTCACGTCATTCAAATCATTGTCATTCTTTACTGCAGCGTTTTGATGCTGCTCTCTTCGACTTTCTCTAAACGTTGTAGCTCTTTCCAATCCTGTGTGATTCCCCTTGATGGTGCGCTTAAGCTGATTCCATGTAATAAGTGTACCACTTGCTTTTTTCATTTCACGCCACGGATTGGAAGTTTCTGGATTCGTCTTATTCGCCAAAGGCACAGAGGAAGGAGATGGACCTGCCATGGCATCATTCTGCTTATTCGTTTTGCGCTTCAGACTTTCTCGACTGCCGTGTTTCTGAGCCCAAGTGGTTGTCTTAGAAGTGTTCACCTCTGCACAGCTGGATGTGCCGGTAGCTGCTTCTGAGTTACCTCCAGACGTCAATTCTGCAGTAACACCAACTGAACGCACTTGAGCTGTTCCTTTGGGAAGATACTGAGCAGCTTGATTTAAAGCGTGACGTAATCCAGCCAGACCGGCAACCGTCAGGAGGTTACCTTGACTCAAAGAGCGACTCAATCCACATGTGCCCGTGTTACACAGAAGTGGATGTTTGTCCTGACCCAGTTGTTTTATACTTGAGCTAAGTGAACAGTCAGTGGGAAACGTCTCCGCATAAGCAAGCTTGTAATCTACAGCAGCAGCAGTTCGGTTTAGAAGTGCTTTTAAATCCGGGTTGCAAGATCTTTCCATAATCATTTGCATCCAACTAGTAGAACCAGACTGACCAGAAGCTTGGGAACCACTGACGGAGTTTCCATTAGCCAATACATTCTGTGAGGACGGCTCCATATCTACAACACCATTTTGGTTAGGTCGAGGCGCTTTGTCCGTCTTAGAATTTAATAAATCACCAGTAACTGGCTCTTTAGCAGGTGAAACAATTCCATTCATTGTTGGCAAGATAGCGGCTTTATTCATGCACTGAGAATGTTGCGTGAACCCTTTGATACTCTTATTATTCAATCGTGAAGGATCGGCTTCTCCAGATGATTGAGTTTGTTCAGTCTGGGCGCTGGCTAAGCCACTCTCTCCAGAGTCACCAGGGGTGAATATGCACGAATCGGACCGGGATTGATCAAGTTGGAGAGGACCGTGCGTGGCCGGAGCGATGCCCAATGACTGGGTCATGCAAGATGACGGATTTCCATCACAGGGATCCACCAAGTTAGTATCATATGTCACAGCAAACTCATCATCGAAAAAATATTCACCTTGTTCAAGCCAGACCGAGCTGACAACTGGGGTGGGGAGGGGGTTTGAATCCGGAGGATGCATAGGGAGGGAAGAAAGCCCGTCTAGCTGGAACTTGGCGTTCATCTTTACTGTATCGGGGCGAGTGGCTTCGTCCATAGTGTTTTTACCATGCGCAGAGAACTCTCCTCTCGGGGGAATTCCAATGATAGTATAAGAGTGACCTTCGATGGCGGAAATGGGGTGATACATCAGTAAACCCCTAAAGTGAATTTGCTAATGAGTCTTACTCCATATGAATATTTTCAGCTGAAAGAAACAAACAAACAAAAAATGGTTAACTGGTCAAAAATTAGGCTGTGACAATAACAGCTGATATCTAAATAAACAAAAATTTGCAACAGACTAGAATAACCTATAGAATGAACATATATAGTTAATCTATGAGACATTTCGTAATTCCCGTACGCAACAACCTACCGCATAAGACAGATGGGAAAACATAAAAAGGGGCATCAAACGCGGTAAAGCATGAAAGATGGGGTTATTGGAACAGTACAGACAAGTAAATAAATGGCCAATTAGTCAAGTCGATTGAGGTCCTAAACAAATCGGTTCATAAAGATTTTGATTTGAATTAACTATCCTTCGGACTTTACCTTCATGCAAAACCCTCATTTCATCCAGTCAACCGTTTATTCTGAAGCACTAGACTCGAGTTTCACTCTTATTAGAGCTTATCGGTTGTGCATATCCACCGTCCCATCTGGGATTTGAACTCCGAACCCATTGCATGGAAGGTGTTTGTATTACCGCTGTGGCAACCAGCTCATAAGCAAGCTGAACCGAATAGCCAATTCTTATTTGTTTAGGTAGTGTCCTCAGTGATAGTCACTCAATTCACGTTTGGCTTGACAGCAACGAAGGGCGAAACCCTTCAATCGAACCAAAATGGAGCTCGATCAATTACCTAACCTCAATATTTCTCTAGAATAACATAAACCAGTCGCCCCCCAGGTGTTTGTAATGCTATTCCGTTTGGCGAATCTATC